AGATATCCCTCCCAATTTTTATCTGCAATGTGTGGGCATGGAACCAGCCTGTTCCATGCCTGTGCACCTCCTATCAGTCTCAATGTGGCTTCTTTAATTCTGTAATTGTAGGACTTCCATTTAGGTAGTTCTAAATGATGGCTGTTCTGTAGTTTAGTTGTAATTTTGATGTAGCTGTGTGAAAAGGTGAGTGCCACATTTACCTATGCTGCCATCTTAGCAGGAGGAACACTGGTTTGTTTTAATTACATTTGAAATGAGCCACACTGAGATAGTTTAATAGGAGTGGTAGAAGCTTAAATAAATTAGTTTGTTTGATCTGTGATCACTTGTAATTAGCTTTTTATGGAATGAAGTCTATGGACAGTACTTTGATCTTTCATATTTGGTACAAGTATTTTCTTTAAAATTTTTTTTAAATGACAGTTTTTATATTTACTTATATCAGTTTTTATTTCCTCTTTTCATATCTTTCCAAAATCAGCTTTGGGACATTTTGGACAAATCATGGCAGAATAAAACAAAGAGCCAAAACTGGACAGATGTATATTTGAATGTTATCGATAGTGTTACAATATGGGTAGAAACGTGACTGCATTCTATTTGTCTATCAAATTTCTACCTCCTTTTCCCTTGAAACTCATTAGCAAACCTCCCCACAGTTAAATTTGCTAACCATATGTATCCCAGAGCTTGGTCAGAGTGATGTAAATAGTCTCATGCTGGGGCAACTTTAACTACTTGATACTACATAAAGTTCTAATCATTTTTGTTTGGAAAACTCTGGGTAACTGTCCTCATACTTACTCATGGGCAAAGTTGTAGATGGTGATACTTCAAATTATACAATCCAGAGCTAACATTTGTGTAGTCTCCTAAAATGGTAGGAAGAAAACAGGTTAAACACTGCATATATTGAACCATGTTTGCTTCCCTGTAGTAGTGTGAAACTGCTAAGTTATAAGAAAGTGAGTACAGGTGCCAAGTCTGCTAGAGTTTCCAAGCTCTGCTAGAGCTTCACTTCCAGTGAAGCACATCACTGGTCTGGCCTTCTTGGGCATTTCATTTTCCCATATGAAATAGAATCTGGTTGTTTTGCCTTTTGAGGTTTTGCTTTTCTTTGGCATTCTGTCTCAATTGCTACCCAATTTTCTATGGTAATTTTATCTGCCTCCTTTGTTTATTAATCTTCTATAGATTGAGAGGAATGGATAATTTCATCTGTCATAATAAGAACTAGATTCTGAGTCAAGACCTAAATAGTTCTCTTGTTGTTAAAGTTATTGCCTATATTTCTTTGACATTATGACATTTGTTTGGACTGGCTATTCTCTAGGTAGTGGAGTTCACTGGGAAACTAATGAACAAATATATTAGATTTTCCTTATCTCCTTCATAAGAATATTGCGAGGCTCAAATGCTATAAAAGTTATAAAAAGACCAAAATAATTGAAAGATCAAGGGGAAAAATATCATGTCTATTCATATTCACCACCACTAGTATTTTTTAAAAATTTTATTGAATTTGTCAGGGTAACCTTGTTTAATAAAATTATATAGGTTTCAGGTGTACAATTCTCTAATACATCATCTATATATTGTACTGTGTGTTCACTCCCCCAAAGTCAAATCTCCTTCCATCACCATTTATCCCCCTTTTACCCTCTTCTACCTCCCCCACCCCCATTTCCCTCTGGCAATCACCATACTGTTGTCTGTGTCTATGAGTTTTTTTTCCTTAACCCTTTACCTTTTTCACATAGTTCCCCACCCCTCTTCTCTCTAACAGCTGTTTCCTGTATCTATGTGTCTCTTACTATTTTGTTTGTTAGATTCTATGTATAAGTGAAATCATATGGTATTTGTCTTTCTCTGACTGGTTTATTTCACTTAGCATAATACTCTCCAGGTCCATTCATGCTGTCAAAAAAGGAAAGATTTCCTTTACTTTTACAGCCAAGAACAATAGTATTCTATCATGTAAATGTTCCACATTATTTTTATCTGCTCATCTCCTGAGCTGCACTTTAGCTGCTTGATGGGCACTTGAGCTGCTTCCAAATCTTGGCTATTGTGAATAGTGCTACAATGAACATAGGGATGCATATATTCTTTCAAATTTGTGCTCCGGGTTTCTTCAGATATATTCTCAGAAGTAGAATCACTTCTATGAGGCAGTTCCATTCTTAAGTTTTTTAGGAGACTCTATGCTGTTTCCCACAATGGTTGTACCAATCCGCATTCTCACCAATAGTGCAAAAGGGTTCCCCTTTCTCCACATCCTCACCAACACTTGTTTGTTGATTGATTTGGTGATAGCTATTCTGACAAGTGTGAAGTGATATCTCATGGTAGTTTTAATTTGCATTTCTCTGATGATTAGTGACATCTCTTCATGTCTATTAGCCCTCTGTATGTCCTCTTTGGAGACATGTCTATTCAGGTCTTTTACCCATTTTTAAATTGAATTGTTTGTTTTTTGGTGTTGAGTTTTGTAAGTTCTTTATACATTTTGTATATTAACCCCTTATCAAATGTATCATTGGTATATATGTTCTCCCATTTATGGTTTGTCTTTTCATTGTGTCAATGCTTTCGTTTGCTTCGCAAAAGTTTTTTAGTTTGATGTAGTCCCATTTGTTTATTTTTTGTTTGCTTCCCCTGCTTGAGGAAACATTAGAAAAAATATTGCTATGAGAGATGTCCAAGATTTTATTGCCTATGTTTTCTTCTAGGATTTTGTGGTTTCAGATATTATATTTAAGTCTGTAATCCATTTTGAGTTTATTCTTGTGTATGGTGTAGGAAGGTAGTCTATTTTCATTTTATTGCACATATCTCTTCAATTTCCCTGACACCATTTATTGAATAGACTATCTTTAACCCATGTTCTTGCCTCCTTTGTCAAATATTAATTGACATAAAGACATGGTTTTATTTCTAGGCTCTCTATTCTGTTCCATTGATCAATATATCTGTTTTTATGCCAGTACCAGGCTATTTTTATTACTATGGCTTTGTAGTAAAGTTTGATATCAAGTAGTGTGATCCCTCCAACTTTGTTCTTTCTCAAGATCCCTGTGGCTCTTCAGGGTCTTTTGTGGGTCTATATATATTTTTGGAATATTTTTTCTAATTCTGTAAAATATACCATTGTTATCAAGATAGGAATTGCAGGGAGTATATAGATTGTTTTAGTAGTATGGACATTTTAATGATGCTAATTCTCCCCATTCATGAACACATTATATGCTTTCACTTATTTCTATCTTCTTCAATTTCTTTCTTCAGTTATTATAATTTTCTGAGTATAGGTCTTTTACATCCTTGGTTAAATTTACTTCAAGGTTGTTTTTTTAATGTAATTATAAATGTGATTGTTTTCTTAGTTTCTCTTTCTGATAGTTCATTATTGGTATATAAAAATGCAGCTGATTTCTGGATATTTATTTTGTATCCTGTTTCACTAAATTCATCTATCAGTTCTAGTAGGGTTTTTTTTTTTTTGGTGGAATCTTTAGGGTTCTCTATATACAGTATCATGTCATCTGTAAACAATGCCAGTTTTACTTCTTCCTTTCCTATTTGGATGCCTTTTATTTCTTCTTTTTGTCTGATTGCTGTGTCTAGGACTTCCAGTACTATGTTGAATAAGGGTATTGAAAGTAGACATCCCTGTCTTGCTCCTGACCTTAGGGGAAACACTTTCAGTTTTTGCCCATTGAGTATGATGTTGACTGTGGGTTTGTCATATATGGCCTTTGTTGAGGTATGTTTCCTCTATTCTTACTTGCTGACTGTTTTTATCAAAAATGAATATTGGATATCATCAAATACTTTTTCTGCATTCATTGATATGATCATGTGATTTTTATCCTTCACTTTGTTTAGTGGTATATCAGGTTTATTAATTTACAGATAATGACCACTGATATTAATAAGTAATTTTTGTTGCCACCAGTTAGTGCCACAAATTTCCTATGGGTGAATTTTTTTGGTCATAAGGAAAAATAGACATTATGAAAAAAACTTGTAGTAAAACTAAAGGCTGGTCCTGTCAATAATAGTATCCATTAACATACAGAGATCCAGGAATAACTTGGATTTCCAATGGTTCCTGGGTCATAATGAAGTAGATGAAGATCATGGTGACTATGATGAGGTTGACAGTGAAGATGAGGATTATTTGATCATTTAACAAATATTGAATGCTTAGTATGTGTTGGGTGCTGTTTTAAGACTTATACAAATTAACTCAATTTTTTTCAACTACATTATTATATAGCTTATACTGTTATCATCCCTATTTTATAGAAATGACACAGAAAAGTAAAGTAACTTGTCTAAGGCCAGATTTAAAAAAACAAAATATGACTATTGGCCCATGTGGAAAAAAAATAAGATGCTGCCCAGTTTTACTTATTCCAGGCATTAGGATATATTGACAATTGTTAGTATTTCATATAAATCAAGTTTTTCTAGAAAAGAAGTTTCTATACACTTTTCTTCTTTGTAAATTGCATTCTTCATAGTAGTCAACACCTAAAAGATAGGCACCATCTTATTATTTTAGAGCTACTCTACCCAACAATACTTGGGAAAAAAAAAAAAGAGGAACCTAAGACATGTTGGCAGAATGAACACTTGTGTCCAAACTCACTTAAAAGCATTATAAGGTCTCTGTAAAAAATGGATTATGTTGGTTTCTACTAATTCTATTTGTACATGTATTTTACAGAATCTATATAATCTTGTATTTCAGTGTATAACTGAATTATTATATCAAGATATGTCCACAATAAATAAAGCAAGTATTTAAAATACATGCTGAGTACTCTGGTATAAATATTATTTTAATAATGTAACATTGTTATAAGTTAGGATGATTTATCTATCAACATAGGCCCACAGTACTAATATAAATACTGTAAATCTGAAAACCATCATAGACCTCATTATAAATGAAATTGATGTCACTTGTAAGATCTATTATTTTTCAGGGGAATGACACGCTGGGGAGAATTTGATGATCTTCATAATATTAGTGAACTGGACAAGACCCAGATTCCAGTGCCTGAATCAATGAATCCCCAGGAAGGTCAGTGTCAAACAGTTATTAGTAAAGAGACTTTAATGAATGAATCATAACTGTTTCTCTGAAATTTAACAATTTTATACACTGCTACACAATAAACTCTTATTTTATGTTTTTAGGAAAGGCACTTAGAAGCATACTAACTTAAATCGCTATAGTTCTGGTATGGTGTTTAAGAATGTTACTTGCCTACATAAAAATGTGATCATTTTAAAAATTACATCAATTCACTAAGGGATGTCTCCAGAGCCCAGATTTTTAGGGAGATTTGAATAAAGTTTATATTCATAAAATTGTTCAATATTTTCCTCAAGGATTAGGATCGTTCATTATACTCAGTAGCTTGTCATGTTAGGCCATGCCAAACCAATGGAAAATGCCAGCTTCTATAACAAGTCACATCAGTAGTCATAACAATAATATTTATGTGATTTAATGACATCAATGATTGTCATTTACTGAAACTCTACTAAGTGTCAGGTGTGATACTGTATTGTACATGGATCTTGTTTCCATATAATATGTACAGATCCACAAAGGAAGATGACTGGGGCTGCCAGTGGGTTCATGTTCCTGGTAGTGATGTCAACAAGCTGGCTTCACACTGAACAAGGGTTCCTTTTGGCCTTACCTTCCCAAGTCTTCCAACAACCTCTGATGTTTAGTTGTTTTTATCAAACTATTATTAATTCAGCTTCCTCTGCTGTCACACTGTAATAAACCATTTTCTATGACAAACACGATTTTTCTTCCACGATTCCTTTATCTTTGTCTCATGGCCTCTTGACATCTTGTAGACAAGGATCTTTCCAATTAGCCACTTGGAAAAAAAATGCTCATCTAAACCTAGGGGAATCTCAATATCTTGACACCTAAGATACCATAAAAATCTACTTGTATTTTAGGACCAGTACTGGAGGAAGTGTACTATTTCATGATTATTTTATGATACTCTTAATTACAATATAGAATTATTTAAACTCTCAAGGTAAAATGGAACACAAGTATCACCAGCAGGCTCTCTTCCTACATGAGAACATTGCTATTTTCCCACTGTTTAAAAGCATTAGAATCCATTGCTTAGCTACATATTTAGTTATTAAATACATATACAAGTCCACCCAGAATGCAAAGAGGTGGATGGCTAAATGATATGGCCTTATCATCTTTATTCTTCCCAGATTATTTATCTTATCACAGCAGCACTCTGAAGCCTCTTGAAGATGAAGAGCCAAAACCTCCATTGCTCTATAGAACCATGAGTGAAGCAGCTCTGGTGAGAAAAAGGACGAAGCCTCCAATGATGGACAGAAAAGACAGACAGAGACATAGAGCCTCTATTAACGGGCACTTTTACAACCATGAAGTGAGTTTCAATTCTATTGGTGTCATTTAAAATAGTGTTCTCTATTATACTAACAATAACAATGGTACTAGTATATTTAATAATGACTGGGTATTCTCTGTGCCTTAGGTATTTAACTTTTAAATTAATTTTGATTAATTTTCTCATTATCACTGTAATGATACTATGAAATAGTTACCATTATTTTACCTACTTTACATATGAGTTCATTGAGACTCACAGAGGTTAAACAATTTGTGTTAGGTCATACTGCTTTTAAGTAGTAGCTTTGAACTTGAACCCAGCTTTGTCGTACTCCAGAACCCAAATTCTTAGCCACCATGATGGATGATCCCTATTTAAGTGGCAGTACTATGCCGAGCTTTGGAAATATAAAAATGAATCCATTGAAGCCCCTGCCAGAAAGGAGCTCAGGACATGGGGAAAAAAAATCAGTACATTAAACATTAACATTTAAATACTATTTAAATTTTTAAGAGTCCTATTTACTTTAATAAATCAAAGTTCTCATTTTGCATGTTCCCTTCCAAGTCTTGCAAAAATACATGTTATTTTTTATATAAGTATAGCTGTAGTTTAGATATCACTTGTATTCTGATTTTTCACCTAACATGTGTTCAATTTACATGTGCCTTTCCCTGCTATTTGTAAAACATTTCACTGTACTGAAGGTAGAAAATATATCATTTTTCTAAAACAAATATTTTTCATGTCATGTATTTTAACAATTATTCATCCATTCATGGAATAAATACTTCAAAAGTATTTACTCTGTGCCAGGCACCATTCTGAGCCCTTTGATTCAAGATAATAATTCTTTCATCTTAAGCCTTTCCTATAGGGCTTTTTACCTTATTCCTTCTTCCACCCTTGTGAGGTTATCAGTATTGTGCCTTTGGAGGCTGGTGGAAACAAACCAACCTCTCTTCTGAATTCTTTGTTCAAATTAACACATTTTTTTGTTCAAAAATTATCTCCTGGCCATAAAGTCACATAGACACTCCCCAACCAGTGTGCAACTACAGATTTCCCTGGTTTCTTCCCAAAACTATGCCACATGTGGTCATCTGGTGAGGTGACTTGTGTTAAAGGAAGCTGAGAAAGCCACATTGTACCAAATGATTGACTTCCAGATGCGATCTCCTGTGATAAAAATGAAATTGTTACTAAGGTGGCCATGTAGCATAGTGGTTAAATGGTTCTATGCTTGGGTGTTAGCTTGCTGACCTGATTTCAAATTCTTGCTGAGCGAAGTTAAAAATGTACTCAATCTCTTAGCCTTAGTTCCTCCATCCTTACTACTTCACAAAGTTGTTGAAGAGATTGAATGAAATAAGGTGAGTTAAACACAGTGCCTAATACAAGGGGAGAAAGGAATTCCATTTACATTACCTTTACTGTTGTTGATTGAAAGAGATCAAGCTGGGACTACAAGTATTTTATACAAATGTCATTCACTGTAATTTAAAAACTAACAAAAAGAAAAAAGAAAAAGAAAACTCCAAAACCCAAAGCACTCTATCAATGGGTATGTAATTATGAGCATCTATAAACTTAAATTGATTTAGTCTTTAAATGTGTTTTTATACCATGAAACCTCTTGATAATACCAGCATTGTTAGGCTGTGGATAACACCCACATTAGAGCTTACATTGTGATATTAGTAGGTAACGTATGAATATGACTTGACCTGTAGCATATTTTTATCCGTGCAATAAGAAATAATTTTATGATAGGGTTGTATTAGATATCTGGCCAACAAAACTGATAGAAAGAATTTGTTTTAAAATAAAACTCTGAAAAACATAATTTCAAAGTCCTTGTATGTTGGCACATGAGAAGGTCTTGGAGATTATCTAGTCCTACTCCCTTATTGTATAAATGAAATCATTGAGGCCTCTTCAGGTCCCAATGCTAAGTAAGTTGAGAAAGTTGGAATTAGCAGACACTAGACTTTAGGTCTCCTGAATCCTAATCTAGTTCTATTGTCAAACTCCATGAAGATATCAAACTGTATGAGGTCTGTCCAGAAAAATTCCAGCCTTTGTTAATATAACAAAAATGGTTTGCATGACCTTGATGTAACCTGGCAGCTAAGGTGCATGCATGAACAATGATGTCTTCACTGCACGAGTCAGGGGATGGGTGGGGGGGTAGACGCCATTATTGAGTGAGCATGTGTACTGTGTGGTCATTGTGTTCAAAGTGACTGAGAAAGTAGAGCAGCAAATCTGCATCAAATTTTTCATTAAGCTTGAATGTTCCTCCATGGAAACTCTTCAGATGATTCCGAAGGCCACATCTATTGGCAGCTAGTGACTGGAAACTTAATCACAATGATGCACCCACTCATACATCACATCTCATGCAGACATTTTGGTGAAACATCAAATCACCCAGGTGACTCATCCCTGGCTATAGCCCAGATTTGACACCCCATGACTTATGGGTTTTTCCCCAAGCTAAAATCACCTTTGAAAGAGAAGAGATTTCAGACCATTTATGAGATTCAGGAAAATATGACAGGGGAGCTGATGGGAATTGGGAGAACTGTGTGAGTCCCAAGGTCCCTACTTGGAAGGGGATTGACATGCCATTATTCTATGTACAATGTTTCTTGTATCTTGAATCTTCTTCAATAAATGCCTATATATTTACATTACATGGCTGGATACTTTCTGAACAGATCTCGTAGCACTTCAGAGCTCCAACTGGTAGGTAGCACTTTCATGCCAACCCTTGGCTAAGATACAGGCTGATCCATATGAAATTGCCAACATTGGATCATTTCTGATCAATCAAAACAGAGAGCTTTCATATGTTTCAAACTAATAATAATGTAGAACAATTATTTCTATGCAGGAGGAAAGTGTGGCATGTGAGTTTGAAAAAGCCTGTTTGTGTTACTTTTTTTTTAACTCAGCTTCCTCTTTTTCATTTTTTTAATTTAAAAAAAGTTCTTATATTTCTTTTCCACTTTTTTATTATATATTTTTTCATTATATATTTTTTCATTACCATTTAGTCCCCATATATTCCTCACCCCTCTGTAACCACCACACTGTTGTCCAGGTCCATGAGTCCTTTTTCCTTCTTGCTCAATCCCTCTGCCCCCTGACTGCCCACCTCCTTAGCTGTCCTGCTCTCTATCTACGAGTCTGTCTTTATTTTGCTTGTTAGTTCTGTTTGTTCCTTTGATTCCACATATGAGTGAAATCAAATGCATTTGTCTTTCTCTGACTGGATCATTTCACTTAGCACAATGCTCTCCAGGTCCATCCAGTGCTGTTTCAAAGGACAAAATTTTCTTTTTCTCATGGCCAAGTAGTATGCCATTGTGTAAATGTCCCATATTTGTTTTAACCACTCACCTACTGATGGACACTTGGGCGGCTTCCATATCTTGGTGATTGTAAATAATGCTGCAATGAACACAGGGGTGCTTATGTTCTTTCAAATCAGTGTTTTGGGTTCCTTCAGATATATTCCCAGAAGTGGGATTGCTGGGTCAAAAGGCAGATCCATTTTTAATTTTTTGGTATCTCCTCACTGCTTTCCACAGTAGTTATACCAAATCTGCATTCCTACCAATTGTGTTTAGTTATAATAGTTAATTTATTTTAAATATTAAATTGTACTAAATAATGTTGTGGTTATCTAGTGAAAATATTTTGTATGTGGCTAGATTATATATTTTACCTAATTTACTTTAGAAATAATGCAAGGCTTCTTAAAAGGAGACAGGGCACTCAACAACAGCAAAGAAGCAAAAACAGGAAAACAGGCTTTTTATACTTGATGACCTTGGATTTTTATTTTATTTTGCCCAAAGAAGGCCAGTTTCAAAATACTGACTGTTGTTACTTTGCTGTAATTTTAAGACATATGTTTGTTTGTTTGTTTGTTTTTAAGACATCCATTTTCACTCCAGCCTTTGGATCAGAAACTAAGGTCAGAGTAAACAGTAACATGAACACTGAAGAAGTAATAAAGCAACTTCTTCAGAAATTCAAGGTAATTTTATCACTGAACTAAGATATAAATACCTTCTTTATAATTTAACTGTATACCCATAAATTTTCTCTTCTGAAAAAGACCTATGAACATGTAAATCTCAGTTCAATGTTCTGTTCCAAAGAATTTTTTCCTATGTATGACACCTTTTATTAACTGTGCCCTGAGAAATTACATTATTCCCAGGGAGGAGAGGATTTCATGCCTGAAAGCGAAACATGGATGTGAGATGATGGATACATAATTTGGGTATGGTTGGCTTAGAAAACATCATATGAAAACAAAGAATTCATGTCTGTTCATTTTTTTCCACTGACAGATTGAAAACAGTGCCCAGGATTTTGCGCTTTACATTCTTTTTGCAACAGGAGGTAAGAAAGCTTGATTGCACTTTGTCCTTGTCTCCCGTGGCTTACAGTTTTCTGCCCATGAGGAGGCAGCAGAACAGTTGACTTCATTCTGTGGAAGAAAGGGCAGAAGGAAGGAAAGAGGGGAGGGTGTTCTAGAAGAACCAACGAATAAGGTATCCTAGAAGACTTTGTAATACGAAAGAATTTACTCCTTGGCTAAACCCTCAATTATCTGAACGAGGATTAAAGCCCTCATGAATCTATGAAGTTTCCCAGGAACTTTTCCAGTAATTGTTAAGCATTTAAGTCATTATTGATCTCTTGCACGCCTTTCTGGTTTGCCTTCTTGCTTTGGCTTTTACTGGAGTCATCATTGCATATCATTTCCCTCTGATCTTGTTATCTCTTTCTTAGCAGAGTGTCTGACACACTGTAGGATGTTATTCTTCCTCATTAGAGAGGCATTCAGAAGTGGCTGGTAGGGGATAGAATGTGAGAACCAGGCTCCAGGAAGCTGTTGCCTGTGGGATGCTAGGAGCAGCTAGTGAGATATCAGAGAAACCCTAAGGTGATGCTCAAATTTTGAAAACCTCAAATTTGAAAAAGTTGAAATGTGAGATTGTGGAAATATCCCAGGTGATGATTTAAGTTTCAGAATGTTTAAACCAGTAATAAAAAAATAAAATAATACATTTTGATGTCAGAATATCTATAAGAAAATTAAAGCTGGATCTCCAAATATACACAAAATGAAAGTCCTCATCATTTGAAAGCTTAAACATAAGAAATATACATGTATTTTTTTAATTTCTAAGGCTGTATATATTCATATGCTAGCTTAAGAAAAACATTGAAAGGTATAAAAAAGTAGAAACATGTAAAAGGTATAAGGAATAAATTATGAATAATACCAGAAAAAAAGATTAGTACCTAAAATATCAAAGATTCCTTGCAACTAATTCAGTAAAAACAGAAAAAGGTATGATAAAGCAATTCAAAGGATAAAAAATTAAAATGACCAGCAAATATGTTTTAGGAAAAGGCAATACAAGTCTTCAAAGAAATGTAGTCAAGGAAATGCAGGTTCAGTCCACAATGTAATATTACCTCGCACTCATCAGATGGGCAAAATGTTTTTAAGTGATTCTACCTCTGACTAGTGTAGATAAAGGTAAAAGTTACTTCCATGCAATTCTGGTGAAAATATAACTGTCTTTGCCTTTTCAGAATTCACTATAGCAGTATTTATTAAAATGTACAGTATACATATGTATTCTTTACCCCAGCAATCCCACTGTGAGAATTTATTTCACAAAAATAAAAAGACTGGTACCTACAGATTTGTATGCAATCCTGTTTATAATGACAAAAAGCTAAAGTTACTTACCCTAGGGGAATCATTAAATATGTGATTATTATTCAGACATTAAATGGAATGAGTAAGATTTATGCCAGTTGAATAGGAGGAAGTTCTATAATATACAGTAAATGAAAAGTGCAAGATGCCTAAAATGTTTATCTATGATCCAATTTTTATAAAAGTGCTATAAATCCCTATTTACATATGTGGTATATATGATCATACAATCAGGGAGAATGGTATGGAATGAAAAATATCATGATAAAAAACATGTCTACAGTAAAATATCACTGTTTTTGTTATATTTTATTATTTTAGTATACCACCATCTGTATGGGTGGTGTGCTGTGTGTAGAAAGAGGCATAGGGAGGGATGGTGCTCAGATGATAGAAATGCTGACAGTCTCAGAGTCCTGGGACTCCAGGCGACTTTTACCTTCTGCCTCATGCTTCTCTCCATAGATTTGATTACAATAGTGTGTGTGTGAGTGTGTGTCTGTGTGTTTTGACTTTATTGAAGAATAATTGGGAATAATTGGCAAATATAATTGTATATATTTGAAGTACAAACATAATGATTCGATACATATCTACATTGTGGAATGATGATCAATAATATCAAGATAATCAACACATCCACAACTTTATATAAACTTTTTTCCTTGTGGTAAGAAGGTTTCATATTCACTTTCGGGAACGTTCAAGTGTATAAGTACCATATTGTTAACTACCATCACCATGCTGCACATCAGGGCTTCAGAATTTATTTTTTTGATAACTGAAAATTTGTACCCTGTTTTCCTTCCTCAATAGCATGTTATTTTGATAATAAAAAATGTCCATTTTTACTGTAAAAAATGTAGGTCTTTAAAGATTTATCTGTAAATATCATGTTTTCTTTTATATTTTGTGTCAACATTTCTTGCACATAAAATCAAGAACTGAAGATAATCATAAGAGAAAAAATGCAGCATATAGCACCTGTGTGAGCAGTAATCTGGGAAATGAAGATGGGTGCCTTTCAATACTGTTATCTACCTGCAGAGTTCATTTAAAGTACAGATTCTGAAGCCTCTCTAGAGCTGGGGACAGTCTAAGAATATGTGTTTCTAATAATTATCCCAGGTGAACATGAAGCAAAATCATGAAGCAAGAAATCTTGCTAGAGCAAGAGCCAGAACAGAACAAATTGAAAATGCAAAACCAAGTTAACATAAGATACAGTGGTCAAAAAAAGGATTTTAGCAGGTTATTGAGAGGAACTAAATTACCAGCCAAATTAAATGATTCCGAAATGGTAGAGGAATTTCAGGAATAGATAATGTCACTTCATTTGTGGGCTTCTGTGTTCTAGACCCTCTCTTGACTTTTTCCCCAGGGTAAGTCCAGCCAAGGGATGAGAACGGTTCCAACTCTTGCAGCTTTTCAGAACCCTAGGGAATTTATTTTATAGATACTTGGTAAGGTAAAAAGGTCTAACTGGTCTACCCTTTCCCCTTCAGTCTATTCCAACATGGCAGAGAGATTGTTTATTAACAACATAAATCAGGCCATGAGATGTGAACCTCTTCTTAAATCCTCCATTGGTCTCTCTTCTCACAGCAAAGCCAGGGTTTTTACAGTGAGCTCGTTACTTCTCTTCACCTTTTACTACCCTCCCCTCATCTTCTCCATGCCCACTCCCCACCCCCACCCCTTGCTGCTCTTTGAAAGCCTGGGGCATGCCCTGGCCTCGGGGCTGCTTTACTTATTTACTTACTCTATTTAGAACACACTTCCCCAAATAGCTTCAGGATTCCACCCTCATCTCTTATGTCTTTATTCAAATGTTCATTGAGGCCTTCCCCAGGCACCCTATCAATAATTGCAAACTTCTCCTCTGTACACACATATTCACACATGTTATTCCATCTGTTTCTTGCTTTCATTTTCTTCTGAATACTCATCACTAACATGTGGCATGTTTTATTATTTTTCTTATTATTTGTATCATTCACTAGAATGTAAGGTCTGTGATGGAATTGTTTTTACTTTGTTTTGTTCTATAGTGTGCCCAGAACTATACAGAAGTGCCTAACATATAGTAGGAACTCAAAAATATTTAAGGAAGGAAGGAGGGAAAAAATACGGTGAACATAAGGGCACTCTGTTCTGGTCATGCTTCATCCTGATGAAAATGAAATCACAGATGTGAAAGCTACTTTGTCAGAAAGTTTTTGTGGTAGAAGTATTTGTATATAACTTTTGGAAATTAGAAGTCCCGGAAATATACCAAATTGGAAGTTATTTTCTTTCTTATTTCATTATCATGGCTGAATGGATGAAGCCCACAGGTGAATGAAATAATAAAAATACTCCAATATCAAAAGATTCTGAATATATATTTAAGGAAGACCCAAGGATTGGATGTGGAGTAAAAGAGAAAGGAAGCATTGAAGATAATTACAAAGTATTGAACCTGAATAACTAGAAACATAGAATTACATTAACTGAAATAGGAAAGTATTAATAAATATTTATTGAGTGAGTGAATGAATGAAAACTTATAAAGATATTTTGTAGTGTGTTGCTCGATGAAAGGCATATATGAGCTGGAGATTTGTCTGAACATACTAACCACAGGCAAGACTGAATTCTCTGAGTCAAACTCTGAGGGATAACAACAGAAAGAAGTCCATATTTAGTCCATTTAAAGGTTTTAATTTCAATTTAATGATTTTGACTGAGTGCCTCCTATTGTACCTGGGTTTGTTTTTTGTTGTTGTTGGTTTTTGGGAGGGCAGGGGTGGGTTGTTTTTTTTCCACATCTTTCAAAGTGAGCTAAAAAAAAAAAGAAAGTAAGTAAATGGCCAAATTATCATTCTTCTTTCTTCTCTGACATGGATTCTTGACTGTAGCTGGTTCTTGTTTTCTTTTGCAGAAAGGAGACGGCTAAAGAAGACAGACATTCCACTACTGCATCGACTCCTTCAAGGACCTTCCAAAGAGAACGCTCGCATTTTCCTCATGGATAAAGATACCGAGGAAATTAGCAGTGATGTATGCATCCCATTATCCTGAATCTGACTTAGCCTCCTCCTGGCTCAGGACCTCTCACATAAATGCTCTGCTTTCTCTTGTGTGTGTTTGTGTGTTTTTCAGGTGGCTCAGTACATTAACTTTCATTTTTCCCTCCTGGAATCTATCCTTCAAAGATTAAATGAGGAAGAAACAAGAGAGATTCAAAGAATAACAACAAAGTAAGTCAAGACCATGCATGGTGGGTACTTGCTCCTTTAATAGGTTCAATGTACAAAATGTGTCCAAATTTTAATATTCTTTTTTTCCTTCTCATTTTCAGGTTCAGTACAGAAAAGGCTATTATACAGAAATATCTTCAAAGGAAACAGGTAGTAAAAACAGAGACGACAGTTTAGTAGTACAGGCCACTCTTGCTAAAAAACTTCAACAAAATCAGAGGGATGTTATTGTATGAGTGCCCACATCCTGTACTTGCATTCATACAAATATATATGAACTTGAGTCTGCAGAAGACTGAATATTGAAAAAGCTTGTCTCTCTTCAAGATGACGAGGTTAACTCGGATTCACAGTTGGACTGAGATGAGCTTGAATTTAGTTTCAGTAACTGAAATAAGCTTGGATACTGTGTATTCCAAATAGTCTTTATAGTGAAACACTCAATGAACTGGAATTTAAATGGTGTCTTCAATATGATACAGTTTAAACATCTCTTAGCCTGAACTGTCAAGAGAACTGGAATATCAACCATCAACTCTCAGAAATGATTCAGAAGTAAAAGCTGCCAGCTCTTGAAATAAAACAGAAGCATATTCTTACCCCACCAAGAAATCTGATCGTAACAGTGTCTTATAGCTCTTTGAAAATTCTAGTATTTTCATAAAGTCCAGGGCTGTCTTTATGTAGTAGGTGACTTTTGGCTATCTGTAATGTCAAAACTATTGGTCCTTTGGGAAGGAAAAGCCTGTGCACTCTGTTAAGAAATCCAAATTGTAATTTTCTCAATCTGAGCCTTCCCCCTTTTTTGCTCTGTTTTACTGATGACTTTCAAAAATATTCTCAAAGGTTTTTTTAGGTCAGTTAAACTAGTTTATTTTTCCAAACATACATACCACGGAGACTTAACATTTAATCAGCTATTAAGCCCAGACTTGGTCTGCAATAACCATTGTTAGTGAATGAGTACAAAGGACAATGCGGACCTATTGCAGCTGAAGCTGGGCAAGGGCTCTAGAGTGCTGCTCTTTTTCTTCAAGACGTCTTATTCTATAAAACAATGCTTGAGGTATTTACAAGTTGGTAAACCAATTTGAAAAAAAAAAAATCTGAGAATGCCGCAAGTCTCATTTGTGATTTTATTTATGAACTCTGTGTTAAATGGAGTTGTATGCAGCTTGCTTCCATTCTGTGAACTACTTCTATTTGCATTTTTCATACACTTGTGTTAAACTGTTTGAATACATTACATGTCCTCTGGGATATGGCTGTCTATACTAAACCCAGTTGGTTTATGAAACATTTTCAAAACAAAAGTGTTACTTCTCAGTGTCACCAAAACCTAAACTGGATGAGAGGAAAAGTGGACCTAGTCAGTCCCAGTAAGTCTGTTTTATTGTGTAAAACAGAGGCTTGCCTCTTTGTCCTTTCACCTGTCAGTTAGTAAGAGGATAGGCAAATATGACAGTTAAAATTCAGTGATGCTACTTAAAAAAAAAACTTAAAGTAGCATCAAGCACCTTCCATAAACATGACAAAAGATTTATCTTTAATCTATTGAAAGTGCACAGAATGCATAAAAAAAATACCAAGTGTTTGATAGAAAAAAAAAAAGGCAGATAACATGAAAAGTAAAAAGCACAGAAGAGGAAATGCAAGTGGCTACTAAGTATATGAAAAAAGTTGTATCTTAACAGTGACCAGCTGTATTAGTCTGTGTCCAATCAGGAGACAGAAGCCACATAATAATTTAAACAGGGGGTATTTTAATACAAAGAATTATTAAGTTATGATAGGAGAGTAACCAAAAGGTGGAAGGAGAGCCCAAAGGTCAGCCTAGTGCTGAAGAAGAGTGCTCCCAAAAGGAAAAGCTTGGAAGGGGTTCAGAATTCACTGGAGAAGGTGGGGTTGCATTCCATTTCAAGAAGGAGAAGTTGGCTGGCTGCGAACACCAGAGCAGGGCCACAGCCTTAGGGCAAGCAGGAACAGCCTTTGTGAAGCAGGCCACCTGGGGCAGGGGGGCAGGTATGCAGAGAGCCTTGGTTGGGACTTGGGCTCAGATCACATAGGGTCTGTGACGGAAGGTGCCAAGGAAATGGTTTGAAGGAACAGGAAAGCCAAGACTCCAAGGTACGCACAGAGAAAGAGAGGTGCTGGTGGAATTGAGAGCTGGAGGAGCCTCCTTTGGAGGAACCCACTACAACTCTGTGTATAACTTGGTTCTGCAGCATCTTTCAGGCTGCATGGAACAAAGGTTGGGCAAGTGGCTCACTAGATGGCCAGCCCCACAGGGCCCTCTGGGGGAGCATGTACCAACTTGAGGAGAAGGTGCAGAGAACAATGATTTGAGCTAGTCACAGGCCTGCATTGAGACTCCAGGCTACGCCACCACAAACCCAATCAAAAAATTGGAAAAGACGTTGGAGAAATAAATGCTAGGGAAAGCTGCACCCTACTGTCAACTAGCACTGCAGAAACCACTCTGGGCAGAGAAATGGAAAGAAAAAAGTGAGCATTCTAAGAGCCTGGCCAGTCAGCTCAAAGCAATCAGGAAAGACCAACTTCCTTCTGTTGATGTACTATGTCTCTCCAGTGCCCTCTGCTGACGAGTCATGGCCTGCAAGCTGCAAAGAAAATATATTTAAAGGACACACCTCCATTTCACAAAGCTGACACAAAGAATGAATTTGGAGCAGAGAGGCAATAAAATAACTGGCCTGCCAACAAAACACAAAGTAAAGAAAAGTGAAATATACTTTTTGGTCTATTAAATTAGTGAAGATTAAGAAATGATAATATTAAATACTCAACAAATTACAAGATGGGCTTTCAAGCTACTGATAGAAATACAAATGTACAGAATTTTTCAAAAACAATTTAGCAGTAAGTTTATATTATAATTCTGCTTTTAGAATCTCATATTGAAATAATCAGACATACAAAGACATTAAGCAAATATACTTACTATGTTCCTATTTATTGTTGTTAAAGGAAGTAAATAGCCTAAATGTCAAAAATAGAAAAAAAAGGATGACAGAAGAAAAGAAATATTTACCTATGGAATGTTATGCAGGTAATAGAATTGTTTTCAAATAAATTTTAATTAGGGCAATAAATTCTCCTTATGTATCTAAATAAGACTATACATAAAAATGTTCCAAAATATTTACTATCCATAAAATATCTGTTTATATGTGTATGAACACTAATATTTGTACATATAACTCAAAAACCAAAAAAATGTTAAATGTGGTTATGTCTGGATTATAGAATTATGGATTGTTCATGCTTATATTTTTCTATGCGTATTAAATAGTCTATAGTGAACATGTGTTACTTTTAAATCAGGAAATGGGAAAGCTAAGATTAAAAAGTTACCAAAAAAAGTAGCAAGAATATGCAAACAGTTCTGCTATATGCAAAAAAGTTCAAATACATTATTTAAATGAAACATTAACATCACTCCAGTGGTAGTTTTAAAATACATCCATAGTGTCTTCAATATTCCTCCTTTTGGGAGGACTAACCTAATCTTCCTCATCTTGAAAATGGATGGACTTAGTGACTCAGTTCTAATGAAGAGAGGAAAGTGGAAGTGACAGCATCTAACATTGGATACTAGGTCAGGAAGTCACTGTGGCATCCTCCTTGCTCACTCTCACAGATCACTGGCTCTGGGCGGAGCCCACTGCCCTGTTCAGAGCAGCCCTGGGGAAGGGCCTACATGATGAGAACAGAGACCTCATCATTTTGTCAGAGACCTTCTGTCAAAAGCCAACAAGGAAGTGAGGCCTTCCCTCCACAGCCCTATGAGTGGGCCACGTGATAGCCCTAGTCAAGACTTCAGATGATGACATCTTTGTCTAATAGCTATAACATCATGAGATACCCTGATCCAGAAACCCCAGCTAAACCCCTCCTGGTTTCCTGATCCCCAGAAACTGTGTGAGATAGGAAATATGTGTTGTAGTACACTGCTAAATTTTATAATAATTTGGTGCTTCAAGATAGAAAATTAATACAATTTCTGATACAAAATAATCTATTCACTTCAGAGTCATCTTTGCAAAATAGAAGAATATAAGTTGTTGTCACCAAGCCATTTACCTTTATTTTAATTGTTGAAATATTTCACTATCAGTCACACAATAGTTCAAATTCAATTCCAGATAATGTTATACTTATTAGTAGTATAGGGCCTGTCACATTCATCTTTTATACTTTGCTGTACTTAATGTTGTGTTTTGTGTGTAGGATGTGCTCCATAAAAATCAACTGAATAAAGGGCTGAATGAATTAGTGAATGAGTGGATAAATTATCTGAAAATTTTTGGGGTAAAATTTCCTGTATATATGCCTCCTTTTCTACAAATATAATCCAGCTGCTGAAGAAATACATGTAGATTTTCTCTATATGGTTTTCCTTAATATGGTAGTATAGTTTATTATCTCTTAGATATATGAAATGTTCAGACAGGCAGTGTTACTATGGTATTTTGTTTAGGGCTGTTCAGATTCGTTCAGGAACAGAAGGGAAAAGAAGTCCATTTGCAAGGCAGTTGATGAGGTACAAAATACTACAGGTGTACTACTGTGTTGGTATATCTACATGTGAAAGGAAAGAAGGGAATAGGATGCAATTACAGAGAGCAACAGCCTTCAATGGCATCCATTTGCCTTCTAAATTAATAATGCTAACACCTATTAGATTGGGCCATTTCAAATTGTCAACATCTGACCTACCAAAGCAACAATTTCATATTGTTCAAACTAAGAACACTCACAATTTGCCAACACTATTTTAACTCCTATACATTTATCAACTCATTTAATGTTCATTATAGTCCCTTGAGGAAATTACTCTTTCAGCTTAATTTTATAGATGACGAAAGTAATCCATGAAGAGGTTAGGAGATTTGCTAAACTCTAGAAGAGGAACTAGGTAGGAACTAAATCCATACTTTTAAATTACCATAGTCTATGGCTTCACTCTAAATTATACTCCTTCAGTCTAATATTCTGTATGTGTTCTCATTTGTAAAATGGGAATAACAGTATCTACTAAATGGGATACTTACAGGAGTTATAGGAATAAAACATAATAACATGATCAAAATACATGGTTGGCACTTTACATAGAAGTATGTGATAAATATTAGCTGTTATAATTAAACTACCATATGCATCCACTCATGACTGTAGCCCTATCTTGCACTAAATCTTATGCCAACAAATGCTTCATTTTTGTCTTAAAACTAGCCAAATTGAGACTTCTAGTCAAGATGAAGGCATAGGTAAACATGCTTCACTTCTGTAATGGATACCGGCCTGCGGTATCCATCTCAGCTGTGGATGTTCGTCGAAACATGCTAAAAACATACACAGAGACAACCAGGTCCTGTGGGGGAATAGGAACAGCAGGGCCACTCCTCACATGGGGAGCGCCTTGGCCACCCTCTCCCCTGGAGGGCACCGCTTGGCCACCCTCTCTCTGGTGGAGAGAGGGCCCCATTCCCCCTCCAGAGAGGCTTTTTATTGGTTTCGTTTGAATAAGAATTCAGGTAAAAGCTCATTACTCATTGCTAGGAAGTAAGGATCAAACAATAGATAATAAGGAAGTCTGAGGGCCTATTCTGAGTCAGGGTCAAAGAGCTGTACAACTTTAAAGAACAAACTTACTTCTTCCTTGGACCCTTATCATTCAACTGAGAGCATTCTAAACAAAGCAGGTTTCACAGGATCTTACATATTCTTTCTTAGGCCTGATCATCCAGGGAACCCGCCCTTTTCAACACAGAGCTGCACCACCTTGTCATTGTTTCAGGCTTAGGTGGAGCAAGGGAACTAAGGCAACCAAGAGATAGGAGTTTTTCTCCCAGACGATGAGAACTCAGGCTATGTCAAAGCCGAGGAGCGAGGGTCCATCACCCCTTTTTGCTGTAGCCCCCAAAGTCCTTTCTTGGGGGTCTCCCACATGATCGTGCCTGTCTTTGGTAGTCCCTCCACCCTTGGGGAATCTTACCCGTCATTGGATAACCGACCAAGCATTGGAGTTTAGTTATGAATGAAGCAGCAGAAGCAGCGCTCCTGCCAGGTAGATAAGCTTTTGTCTCCTTGCTGGCTTACGGTCCAAGGCCACTCCCTCAGCCTTAGCCTTGGCGGGGGTTACAGCTTCTGATACCAGGCAGGGCAGTTCCCAACACACTTCCCCACACAACTAGAAAAAAACCCTACAACTAGACTACAAAACAAATATCACCCAGAACCATGAGAAAATCAAGCTGTATGGAAGCCCAACAACCAAGGATTTAAAGAAGCCACATTCATCCACATGGGTAGTAGGGGCAAAGCCACAGGGTAGCATGGAGAGGCAGTAGAATGGGAAGTCCCACATTCATGTGTAGTGGATAAAAATCAGGAGTGATACCTTGGAAGTGAGTTGTCCTAGCCCCAGACCAGACCACCCAACCCCCGGTTCCACTACCAGGAAAATAAGTCCCCATAACTTCTGGCTGTAAAAACCAGTGGGGGATAGGGCAGCAGAAGAAACTGCAGGATTCTCAGGACACTCCTCTTAAGGGGACTGGAAAGGTCTCAGGATCTACACAGACCTACTCTCTGAGATTCAGCACCAGGGCAACAGTTGGAAGGGCACAAGTGGCATACAGGAGAAAGTGAAGTAACTGTCAATAGGGCAAGTGCCAGGAGATAGCTTCCTCCCAGACAAATCTCCAGAGGCCAGGCAGCCCAGGTTGCAGCATTGTCCCCTCTCCCAACCCTCCCCCACACAGAGTCACAAAGCTGTGAAACAGATTGCCTCACCCTGGTGATTATCTAAGACTCTGTCCCACACAATTTACAGGGGCCTTTTCTACAATAGGCCATGCTACTAAGACTGGGAGTCAAAGCAGCTCTATCTAATACAAAGAAACAAACAGGGAGGCTGACAAATTGAGGAGACAAACAAATATGGCACAAATGAAAGAAGAGAGAACAAAAGAAAAAGAGTTAAATGAAACAGAGAAAATCTACCTGTCAAAGAACTCACTGAGTACAGCAACAACATAAAAAAGACCCAGGCAGAAATGAAGATCACGTTAAGTAAAATAAAGAAAAATCTACAAGGAACCAACGGTGGAGGGGATGAACCCAAGAATCAAATCAACAATTTGGAACATAAGGAAGAAAACATCATTCAGTTAGAACAGCAAGAAGAAAAAAGAATTAAAAAAAAAATGAGGATAGGCTAAGGAACCTCTGGGACATCTCCAAATGTACCAACAGCTAATTCGTAGGGATGCCAGAAGGATAAGAGGAAGAGCAAGAAATCAAAAATTTATTTGAAAAAATAATGGAAGAAAACTACCCTAACTTGGTGAAGGAAATATACCTATAAGTCCAGGAAGCACAGAGAATCCCAAACAAGTTGGATAAAAAGATGAACACACAACGACACATCATAATTAAAATGCCAAATCTTAGATATAAAGAAAGAATCTTAAAAGCAGCAAGAGAAAAGCAGAGAGTTACCTACAAAGGAGTTCCCATAATACTGTCAGCTGATTTCTCAAAAGAAACTTTGCAGAGTAGAAGGGACTGGCAAGAAGTTTTTAAAGTGATGAAAAGCAATGATCTACAACCTAGATTACTCTATCCAGCAAAGCTATCATTGGGAATGGAAGGGAAGATAAAGCGCTTCCCAGACAAGGTAAAGCTAAAAGAGTTCATCAACACCAAGCCGTATTTACATGAATGTAAAAAGCAACTATATAAGAAAAATAAGATAAAAACTATGAACATTAAAATGGCAACAGATTCATAACTATTAAGAACTGAATTTAAAAAACAAATTAAGCAAACAAGCAGGACTAGAACAGAATCATATATATGGAGATTATTTGGAGGGTTATCAGCTGGGAGAGGGTAGAGGGAGAATGGAGAAAAGGGTGCAGGATTAACAAGTACAAATTGTCAGGTATAAAATAAACTGGGGATTGTTAAGAACAGTATAGGGAATGGAGAAGCCAAAGAACTTAGGTGCATGACCCATGGACATGAACTAAGCAGGGGGATTGCTGGAGGGAATGGGGGTACTGGGCAGAGGGGGCAAAGGAGGAAAATTGGGACAACTGTAATAGGATAATCAATAACATATATTAAAAAAAAAACAAAAAAACTAGCCAAATTGACTAATTTATTATTGCTTGAAATACCTCACACTCTACCACATCTCTCTTTTGAAACTATGCCCATTTTTTGTCCTCAGCGACAATGTCTGATCAAAAACTCCTGTGCATCATATTATCTGTTAGCTCTGCTCTTGTGACACCAGAAATCTGAAACTTGCCTTTTATTATAATTCCTTATGTGTTTGTATCTTTATGAATTCATTAGTGATCTGGTCTTATCATGTTCATGTTATTCTCTGCAGTACTTAGCCAACATATTGAACATAATAGTTACTTAACAAATATTCAGTGGAGTTAACTTGCTAGTGTACATAAACATGTTGAAATCACTAGATTGAGCAAAAACATTTAAAATCAAGTAAAGAACACTATAATGAGAATTATATTTTCTCTAATAAAAATAATTCAGTTATTTAGTAAACACTAAAATACTACTGTTTGTTTTTTATTACCCAGAAATATCTGGAAAAATAAAAAGTCTGTGATAATTTCTTTATGTCACTTATGCCAGGCTTTCCAGGGAAAAGACTTATAAGTTATCACTGAAAGCTCAATTTACTTTAAATATAGTAGGACCCTTTGTGTCTAATGTCAGAATCATGTATGTAGGGTAAACATGAAAGGCAAAATTATTATGAAGGTAACTATTACAAAGCACATTTCATTCAGTTCTTCAATAATCATTTCTAGAAGTGGTGTAGACAGAAACTCCAGTTGCTTGGGGTCCTTTCTACTCTAAACACCCAACAGCCAGTTTCTAGTGGATGTAGAAGCCCATTATATCAATCTGAGGCTTTTCAAAGTCCCCTTGATTTCATTTCATACTTCTGTCACTTCTGCTTCTGAGAA